AGCAGTGGTCGTCTTCACCCTGGGGCTCCCGCCTCAGCGCCTCGCGCAGTCGTTTCCCTCCACCATCCTGTGGTGTTGGGACCTCGTTCTGAAGAGTCAGCGACCCGCGCCTCCTCCTTTCCTCGCCTCGCCTCGCCTCGCCCTTCCTCTCCTCTCCTCTTCTCCTCTCCTCTCCTCTCCTCTTCCCTCCCCTCCCCTCCCCGCCCCTCCCCTCCTCTCCTCTCCTCTCCTCTCCTCTCCTCTCCTCGCCTCTCCTCTCCTCTTCTCTCTCTCCTCTCTCGCCTCTCCTCGCCTCGCCTCGCCTCGCCTCGCCTCTCCTTTCCTCTCCTCTCCTCTCCTCTCCTCTCCTCGCCTCTCCTCGCCTCTCCTCGCCTCTCCTCGCCTCTCCTCTCCTCTCCTCTCCTCTCCTCTCCTCTCCTCTCCTCTCCTCTCCTCCTCTCCTCTCCTCTCCTCTCCTCTCCTCTCCTCTCCTCCTCTCCTCTCCTCTCCTCTCCTCTCCTCTCCTCCTCTCCTCTCCTCTCCTCCTCCTCGCGCTCTCCTTCCTCCTCGCCTCGCCTCGCCTCTCCTGTCCTCTCCTCGCCTCGCCTCGCCTCTCCTCGCCTCGCCTCGCCTCGCCTCTCTCCTCTCCTCTCCTCTCTTCTCCTTTCCTGTCCTCTCTCTTATCTCTCTCTTCCGCTCTCTCTCCTCTCCTTCCTCGCCTCGCCTCGCCTCGCCGCGCCTCGCCTCTCTTCTCTCTCCTCTCCTCCCTCCCCTCCCCTCCTCTCCTCTCCTCTCCTCTCCTCTCCTCTCCTCTCCTCTCCTCTCCTCTCCTCTCCTCTCCTCTCCTCTCCTCTCCTCTCCTCTCCTCTCCTCTCCTCCTTCCTCTGCTCCTGCTATCGGCGTGCCCATTTCGGCACACCCCTCACATTCTCCGTGGCCCCATGGGGAGCTCCACCGTGTGGCACCGAAGCCCGAAGCCTCCAGGCAGCCGTCACACCGAAGCCCCCAGTGGCACCGTCTACATGCTGACCCCCGCCCATTTTCGCACATCGCTCACATGTATCGTGGCCCCACAGGGAGCCCCACCGCGTACCGTGTGCGCCCTGAGCGGGACATGCGGCCGTTTCGTCGGTGGCCCTACATCGGCGCTCCGAAAGTTTATTCCGATTTGAGAGGCACGGCGCCGCGCGAATGCAGCGCAAACGCTGTGCTGGAAGGGCGCGGCAATGCATGCCCCCTGGACAGGCGGGAGCAGCCGCGTCCCCGTGCGAACCCCGATCCCGCGCGGGGCGCGTTCCCGTTGACAAAGGCTCACCCGGTAAACCGTTTTCTTGCGCGGGAAGTCCTGAGCGATTTGCCCATCGGCGGTCTCTTCGGACGAGGCCCGGAGCCACCGAGAAACCGTTTTTGATAGGAGGTTCTGAGCGGTTTGCCCATGTTCGGTTTCTTCGGAGTGGGCCCGAAAACCTCGAGAACGATGTTTTCGCAAGGAGTCCTGGGCGGTTTGCGCATTGTCGGGTTGTTCGAACCGGACCCGATTTTTTGTTTGGCACAAGTCCGATAGAATTTGGCCGCTGTCAGATCGGCCGGTAAACTTTTCGGGTCGTCGTATGACCGAACCGGAAAGTTTTTTCGAGGAGATCTTATGCCGTCTGCTCATTTTCGGGTCAGTAGACCGTTTGGGATTCAAAATTTTACACTGGGAAGGGGAACCCGATCCCGCGACCCCGGGCGGGGGTTTAGGCTCTGCCCTTGCATTGTACTGGGCCCTTCTGGCCAAACGGGGTGCTGGGCTGCCCATCGGCGCGCCGACTCTGCTCTCGCGACATCGCCCCCATCCGCCCTCGGGCCCCGCGACTCTTATCCTGCGCGCGCCACCCCAGATGGCCGCGGCGAGCGCGGTGGCGAAATTGGGGGAACTTTCGGATCGGCGCAGTATGGACTGTCAGGGATAAGTTTTCACGACGTCCACTTTCGGCTGGGGCGGCCGTGGCCCAACAGCCCACTCGCGCCGCCTGCCTCACTCCAGCGCCTGAGCCGTCGCCACCAACCTGCCGCAACTGTCGCCGCCCCCCTCCCCCCCTTCCTTCGCCTGTTTTGTTCTCCCCTACAGTCAATAGGCAAGCCAGCCGCGACCTCGAGCAGCCAACCCAACAGTGGCCATCGCGCCCGTAGGCTGGGCCGTCCTCCGCGCGCCGCGCGCGGGACAGAAGTGCCATGGCTGCGGCGCCACGCTTGTGATGATGGGAGGGCGGCAAGGGCGCGTGGTCAAGGGGGGAGAGGAGCGGAAAGACCGCCCCTGCGGCCCACCAGCGGGCTCGGGCCCGCGGGCGGGCGACGCCCATCCAGCGAGGTTTGACGGCGCTGGGTGCTTGCGTTGATTTTTTTGTAGAGCGTCCTCCCTGGCGGCAGGGAGCCGCCGAGGAGTTGGATTACCGTAACACCCCCCCACCCCCCAGGCGGCGACCGCCGCTGGGGGGGTGGGAAGGACTGCGCCGCTCGACGGCCCCGAAGCCACCAGTAACAGCAATAGGGGGAGGGGAAGGAGGAGGAGGAGGAGGAGGAGGAGGAGGAGGAGGAGGAGGAGGAGGAGGAGGAGGAGGAGGAGAACGAGAGGAGGAGGAGGAGGGAGGAGGAGAGGAAGAGGAGGAGGAGGAGGAGGAGGAGGAGGAGGAGGAGGAGGAGGAGGAGGAGGGGGAGGAGGAAGAGGAAGCGGAGGAGCATGAGGAGGAGGAGGAGGAGGAGGAGGAGGAGGAGGAGGAGGAGGAAGAGCAGGAGGAGGAGGAGGAAGAGCAGGAGAGGGAGGATGAGGAAAACCAGTACACACCCAATACGATGTTACAATGAACCCTCCCTCCCTCGAAGTTTCTTGTTCATAGTCCCTACAACACATGATCGCCATTGCGGGCAGTGTCCCATTGGAAAACACCGTTTGAGAATCGTCGATCGTGGGACTTCAGCGCTGGGAATGCGCGTGACGATGGCGTCCTGACAGTCTTAATTTAGCCGAGGCATAGCACCATTCCTGGGACTCTAGCAGCCCGAATCAACGTGATTGCTGCGCCCTGACAATCTTGACTCGTGCCAGAACACCATTCCCGGGATTTCATGCATCTGAAAATTTGAAGCTGCTGCGAACTGTTAAGACGAACGTGCGCGGCACTCAGGCGATAGCCACATATTGGAAACGGCCCGCCCTCCATCGTTGGAGCTGTTGAACATGTTTAAGACCAATATGCGCTGCGATAAAGCGACGACCGCATTTTGAAAACGGCCCGCCGTACATCTTCGAAACTTCTGAACACGACTAAGACGAATGTGTGCGGCGCGAAGGCGAGAGCCACATTTTGAAGATGGGCCACCCTCCAACCGACGTGTCAAGTGGTGAGGAAGTCTCAAGCGAAACGCCCGACCCGCCCTACCGACACGTCTGGGGGTGCTAAACTTCAGGATCATAAATGGTGAAGAAGTCTCATGTGAAACGCCCGACCAGCCCTACCGACACGTCTGGAGGTGCGACAAGGAATATCTATTCATAAGGAGGCGAAGGGGTGGGGAGGATGAGGAGGAGGAGGAGGAGGCGGAGGAGGAGGAGGAGGAGGAGGAGGAGGAGGAGGAGGAAAGGAGGAGGAGGAGGAGGAGAGGAGGAGGAGGAGGAGGAGGAGGAGGAGGAGGAGGAGGAGGAGAGGAGGAGGGAGGAGGAGGAGGAGGAGTGGGAGGAGGAGGAGGAATGGGAGGAGGAGGAGGAAGGAGGAGGAGGAGGAGTAGGAGGAGGGAGAGTAAGAAAAGGAGGAGGTCCCCCTTGGGCCCTGGGAGCCCCTCCGCGAGCACTCCCTCCCTTTCTCCCCTCCCCCCTCCCGTTTTGTGGTGGTCGCCAGGCCGTGCGCCTGCTTGTCTGCGCGCTGAGGGACCCGCACGCGCCGATCCGGAAGAAGCTGAAGGCGGGGCTCGGGGGGTCCTCCGGGCTGCTCGGCGCGGCGCGCGGGAGATCCATAAGATCCTTCTCCTCCTCCTCCTCCTGCTCCTCCTGCTCCTGCTCCTCCTCCTCCTCCTCCTCCTCCTCCTCCTCCTCCTCCTCCTCCTCCCTCTCCTCCTTAGAGATTCTTATCGACCTTTGCGGGGATCAGGCCAGGCAGGTCTAGGCAAGCCCAGATGAACTTAGGCAAGTCTGGATGCATCGAGGATGCTCCAGACCTGCAGGGAAGGATCTGGAGCAAATCGTGGGCGTTCCAGCTCAAGCTGAGGGGCAGCAGCAGTCATGAGGCCATCAGCGAGGGAGTGCCGAGGGAGGGGGGTGGGCGTGGCCCTGCAGGACCTGGAGTGGAGGCCTCGACCTTCTCCCATTCTCTGCGACCAATTGCGAGCCCCACAAGCCTCCTCGAAATCAATCGAAAGTTTTTATCCAAACCCCTTGCCCCCGAATTTCAATGCTGACGGCCGCGCGCAGCGCGGCCCGCGGGGGGCAACAACGACAACAATTGCAGTCGCCTGTGTCGGCGTCAGCATTGAAATCGGGGGTCCGGGGCCGTCGCCACATCGTTGGGAACACGTCTGATTTCGAGGAGGGATGTACCCCTGCGGGTCCAATCGGTGCTGGGATGTCTGTCTGCGGCACAGTGGCGGATCTGCACAGCATAACCATCGCCATTGCTTGGACTCTGCGCCTCTGAACGTCAAAGCATGAGCATGTGCATGCGTGTGCCTACGTAGACATTTCGTAGCCATTTTGGCTCAAGCGCGGGCCGATCTGGGGGCTTGGCAGGGCGCGCCTGGCCTTGTCCCCCCGCGGTGCGATCTACGTAGCTCCGCCATGAGCATCGGCGCGGTCGAGGACGAAGGACGACGAGCGCCCCGAGGAGCAGCAGGACCCCTCGACGCCCACCCCGCCGCGGCTGGCAGAGAAGATCGGTCTCGGCCCTGCGCAGCCGAATTGCGGTGTGCATAGCAGGCGCCGTCTGGTTTTTTCGGGCGGCGCTGCTGCTCATCAGCGCCGTGACGGACGCGCGGACGCGGTGTCCGAGGACTGGTGCCTCTCGAGCTTGAGGGTCTCGTGGCCTCCATGGTCTACATCGGTGTCGTGAGCGGCAGCTTTGCCAGTGACCCGATCGGCGACATGCACGGGCGGCGAGTCCCCTATCGTGATCTCTTTCTGGCTTATCGTCTTGCTCAGCGTCCAAAGCACTCCCTCGGCTTGGCGCTAGCTGCGTTTCGCTGCACCTGCTGGCGCCCTTCTTCCCGCGCCTGTCGCCCTAGGCCGGATGCTGCGGTTGGAACCCCAGCGGACAAGACATCTCCGTGGATTTCTCGATGCTCTGCCGCCTGCAGACACTGGTCGGCGCGAGTATGGGCAGCGGCCAGCTGGCCTGCCGGGCCCTGCTCACGGAGACGACGCCCGCGAACGGCCGTGTGGTCCTCCCTAGCCTGGACTTCTGCCTTCGGCCTCCGCGGCCGCTCTCCGCTTCCCCCAGATCCAGTGCGCCCAGTGCCCGGCGCGGCCCGCCAGCTCTGCAGTCGCGCTCGCGTCCGCCAGCGCTGCCGACAAAGAAGTGCTCCATGGGCGAGATGTGCAGGCTGGTCCTGGTCGACATGGACGACCCTAAGATCTGCACATGTCGCGTCTGCTTTCGCAGGCCAGGCTCCCGACTAACTGTCGATGAAACAACGGGAGCGAGGAGGCACGCGAGGTCTTCAGGATCATGTCTAACGACTATTTCTCGGATCAGATGGGCGCCGTTCTCGACATCACCAGGGCCAAAAGGAAGCAGACGGAACCAGAGAGGGAGGTGTTCCAGTGGAGGCTTCTCATCTGCGATGTTATGATCCACGCGACTTCCATCATGGTGTGCTCGTTCTTCGTGCTGAAATTCGTCTTCCACGGCCGTTTGCACGCCCTCCAACGCAACACATGCAGCAACGCCCGCGCTTCATTCGAGGACACGCACTGCTGGGGCGTAGCCGCCTTCAAATGAGGGTCGGTTCCAGCGACGTGCTGCAACGACGGCTACCACCAGGAAGAGCGTGAACTGGACTGTGATGATCTTCGTGATGCTGGTGCCCTGTGCCGACGGTGTCTAGATTGGCTTCAGCGTGGCCCTATAACTGCCCTGTGCGCTCTCCCCCACGTCATGGCCGTATTGGACTTGGGCTCGACGCCGGCTGCCAGTCTCATCCTGTGCGCCCTCGTCGAGCTGCTCGGCCTGCTGATCGCCATCGTCGTCGTGACCACCCGCTCTGACACGTCTGCTTGGGCCGTGTCACGATTGCCTTGCTCTCCTTCACCGTCGCCGCCGATGGCGACGGCACCATCTGCGCAGCGGGGCGCTACTTTGGATACTGCGGGGTGAAGTTCTTCATCAGCATGGGATACATCGCGGCGTGCCTGTACGCCATGGGGGTCTACCCCACCGCGCGCCTCCCCGCCAACACCCGCGCCTGTCTCTGGGGCGGCTGGCTCGGTGCCATCCTGTCGCTGGGGATTTTCGAAGCGGTGGAAGGGCTCAGCGGTAGCTACACGTTGTGCTTCTACCTGAACGCCGCGCTCGCGGGCCTGAGCTTCTACCCCGTGGGCTCCTCCACCCACGAGGAGCGAGGCATGCTGCTGCGCGAGATGGCCGACGAGGCCATGTTGTCCGCGTCCGCGGCCGAGACGCCCGCGCGCCGGGGGCAGAGGACTTGCCCGCGATCGACGAGGACTACGACCGTGCCAACCCGAACTACGTTTGGCTGGCGACCTGGGGCGGCAGCGCCAGGAGTCGTTTGGCCACGCGGGCGGGGCCGCGCGTGCGCGGCGAGCCGCGCTCTACCCTGCATACCGCCGCGGTGCGTGCACTTTTGTCGGCCGCGGCGGGCCCACACGGCACGGCGGCCCCGCGCCAGCGTGGCTCCTCCGCCCGTTGGTGCTGTCCCGCTGTTAATGCCCAGTAATACGACCCCCCCTTTAAACTTCGTTCAGTGCGTCGGCTGTGCGTCGCCCGTGCGCCGGCCCTGGTTTGCGTCTCTGTCCCGAATCCCCGCCTCCCAGAGTGCGTGGGCGACATCTGGCGCAGTCCCGCCTGGCAGTGTTTCCCCGGCTGCTCCTATTGCAGCCGGCAAGCCGATCCGCTGATCCAGCTTTCCTCCAGGGCGGCGGAGGCGGTGGAGGAGCGGTGCGGTGGTGCTGGGGGCGGAGGAGGAGCGCGGAGGGCGGTTCCCGCCCTTCTGCCCGGCCGTGGTGTGCCCAGCCGCGAGACGGCCTGGGCGGCCACAGCGCGCTTTCTTGACTGGGCGCCAACCGTGGAGGGCCCTCACGGAGTGCAGCGCTGGCGGCGCTCGTCAGCGCCGCAGCCCAGGGGGGAAGCAAAAGACATGTGCTCAGTCGTGTGCAGGCAAGCGTGTGTATGTAGGCTTCTGGGTGTCTGTATAGGGGTGGTAGTGTCAATGTGGTGAATGGCGCGCGTGAAGTAGAATGTGCATGCGTGCGCCTGCATGTGCAGTCAAAACCGCATCGGCAGAACCATGATCAGCCGCAGTAGCTGTGGCAGCAGCAGCGGATTCAGTAGGCAGCGCCAGGGCCGCAGCGGGTGCAAGGCTCAGCCAGCTTGTGCGCTTGTCCCTTTCCTCCGACGCTTCATTTTTTTCGTCATTTCGGCCCCCGGGGCTTCAACCACTTCCCCAGGGCCAGGTTTTCGTTCTGGACGGTCCTGGGGCTGGGAAGCGGTCTCCAGAGGCTGAAGGTGACGAAGAACCAGCCGTCGCGATTGTTCATTGCGTCTCCCAGATTCGAGGGATCTGATGTAGAGGATCGGTGATCGCGATTATTGCTTCTGTCCTCCGCGTCTCTTCCTCCTGCGCCTGCTGCCGAGGGTAGCGTAGGGTAGCCGCGCGGGGCAGCGCGCAGCTCGGCGCCGGGGCCGCTCAGCGAGGTGCGGCGGTCGGACCTGCGGCATCGCTGGAGTCAGCGGTCAATGTTTCGATCTGTGCGAGCCAGCCGGTCCCAGACAATTGCCTGCCCGCGCGTTCTCATCATACTTACAGGGGGGACGCGCACCAATAAACCAGGCACATCTCGTCAGGGTGCCCCCCCCCGCTTGCACCTCGCGCTCGTTTTTTTTTTTTTTTTTGTTTTTTTTTTTTTTTTTTTTTTTTTTTTTTTTTTTTTTTTTTTTTTTTTTTTTATATATATAAAAAAAAATATTATTATTATTATTTTTTTCGCCGGCCTTCCTGCGAGGGTTTCATACGCGGCCGCGTCCTCGCTGCGCGCGCCGTGCAACGGTACTCGCGGACCTCGGCCGCGAGCCTCGTCGCGGCCGCCACCCCTCGCCAGCCGCCGCCGCCGCGCAGCCGTTGCCGCCCCAAGGGGCGGCTGGTCGCCGGCTTCGCCGCCGGCTCGCCGAGGCCGTCGGGCCCCGGAGGGGCGATGGCCGTGGAGGCGGGCGAAGGCCCGCCGCCGGGCGAGGCGGGCCCGAAGGCCCGCCGAGGCGCGTCGAGGGCGTCCCCGCTGGCGCTGGAGGTGCGCGAGCTCCGAGAGGACTTCGGGAGGCGGGCTCGCAGGGTCGAGGTTCATCGGCCACGCGCAGAGGGGGGGTATAGGGGGAGGGGGGAGGGCTTCTTAGAAGCACCATGCCTCTTAGAGAGCGCGGGCCTTGTCTGTAGATGTAAGGCTGGCGCCTTCTAAGGAGCAGCCTCCTTCTAGGAAGCCTTCCCCCTCCCCCATACCCCCCCTCTGCGCGCCGCTGGAGGCAGGCTCGGAGGTTCGAGGTCTTCGGGTGCTTTCGTCGGTTCTCGTCGGCTTTCCAGCCTCGGGGTGCCTTCAGCTGCTGCGCCTTGCCCAATTCGCTCTGGGGGTGTCAAGCCAGCTGCTAACCGTGAATCGACCTTGGAACAGAAGCCGCAGCCCCGTAAAGAAGAGAGAAACGAACGACTTTTTGTTTTACAGGGGGTGAGCATCTGAATGATCGAAGACGCCTACGGCGAATCACCGCCGTTCCCTGCCTTTTGGAATCGCCCATGTGGTCGAACGTTGCGGCCAGAGCTCTGCCAAGCTATCCGACCACGTGTTCCTGGAAACCCTTCGGGGAACACGCGGGGGAGAAAGAAGAAGCGAGGGAGAGGGAGGACAATCAGAGAGGAGGAGGAGGAGGAGGAGGAGGAGGAGGAGAAGGAGGAGGAGGAGGAGGAGGAGGAGGAAGTGGAGGAAGAGGAGGAGGAGGATGTGGAGGAGGAGGAGGAGGAGGTTGAGGAGGAGGAGGAGGTTGAGGAGCGGAGGAGAGGAGGAGGAGGAGGAGGAGGAGAGGAGGAGGAGGAGCGGAGGAGGAAGGAGGAGGAGGAGGAGGAGGAGGAGGAGGAGGAGGAGGAGGAGGAGGAGGAGAGAGAGGAGGAGGAGGAGCAGGAGGTGGAGGAGGAGGAGGAGGAGGAGGAGGAGGAGGAGGAGGAGGAGGAGGAGGAAGAGGAGGAGGAGGAGGCGGAGGATGCTGAGGAGGAGGAGGTGGAGGAGGAGCAGGAGGAGGAGGAGGAGCAGGAGGAGGAGGACTCTTGGGGCCTCATGGTAGCCTCTTGTGGGCCTCTTGGAAGCCTCCTTGGGGGCCTCTTGCGGGTCCTTTGGGGTTTCTTGGGGGCCTCGTTGGCCGTCTTGGGCGTTCCGAGCCCGTCTAACGCCGTGGGAAGCCGTCTTGGGGTCCTCTCTGGACCGACTTGGGGCCCTCTTGGGGCGTTTCAGGGCCGTCTTGGAGGCCACCATGGGCGTCTTGGAGGCCTCTTGGGCCGTCGCGGAGCCCTCTTTTGGCTGTCTTGGAGGCTTCTTGGGCCGTCATGGGGTCATCTTGGAGGCCTTTGGGGCCATTTTGTGGCGATCTTGGGGCCCTCTTGGGCCGTCTTGGGCCGTCGGAAGGCCGAAAAGAAGCAAAGGGCCAAACTTTTAAACAACTAAGTCAAATCAATGATTCTGGCCTCTTCGGGCCCTCCTGGAGGACCTCGTGAAGGCCTCTTGAGCCGTCTTGAGTCCATCTTGGGCCGTCTTGGGTGCATCTGGGGGCCATCTTGGGCTCTCTTGGCGCCACCTTGGCGGCCGTCTTGGAAGCATCTTGGAGGCCATCTTGGGCCATCTCGGCCGTCTTGGAGGCATCTTGGAATCCATTTTGTGCCATCTTGGGCAAGAGAGAAAGGTATTGATAAGTACATCTTCCGGGTGGCCAGCGCGCTGGGCCGAAACCCCAGGGGGAGTTCTGAAATAATTAAACGCCTTTTGAATTTTGGCACGCCAGGCACCCCTGTGGCAAGCCAACAGGGTGCGACGGATCTAGTGCCCTTCGACCCATCCCGCCACCTTGTATGGATTGTGGGTCAGAGTTAGCAAGGATGCTTCGTGGGGCCTCTTCGGAGCTCTCTCGGGGGCCTCTTAAGGGCAGTATTGGGGCTTCCTACAAGTCTCGTCAAACATAAACAGAAACGCAGTTGGAAATCACGACGATCGATGTTCTCGGGCACTTGTTAGAAACTGCGTTCTTCAA